CCTGCTGTAGGTGACCCTGCTTCAGCAGGGGGGTTGGACTGGGTGACCCACAGAGGTCCCTTCCAACCCCGACCATTCTGTGATTCTGTGATTCAGACTCTGCCTGGAAGATTTTGGTTTGTTACGGAAATCAGCGAAGGGAGCAGGTGGGATGGAGACTGGCCACAGCCGTATAGATCCAGCAAGGCTGAAATTAGTAAATGCACGTGACTAAAACCCTTGCGAGAACTGTAAACTGAGCAAGCGAAAGTCCTGTGTCTCACTCTTCAGCTGTCACCAATTGTCTGTATGGCTCTGGGTGGTCTGGCTGGGTTTTTTCTGTAACTTTCCCATTAAGAATTTATGCCTCTGAGTTAATATCAGTAACATGGCTTTCCTTCACTTTCTGAAGTTGAGGATAAAAGAAAAACTCTGGATACACACACTTTCCTCCCTCCCCCCCAGCCTTGTATTATTACGTTTTTCATGCTTGCACTGTGTTAAAGCAAGTCCTATTAAAATTCATGGGTGGCAGCCTTTTGTTCAGAGGCAAGAAATGGTCCTGTTGGGTCAAAACCTCCTGTGAGTTTGTACTTACCTAAACTAAACTCTCCTCGTTCATCCAGCAAACATTTATGAAGAGAAACCTATTTCTGCATTTTTAGTATTCTCAAGAATATGGAATGAAAACAGTTAGAATTTGTGCTTATGTGGCTTTTTGTCATTCCATATAAAGGGTCTGGAGAGGACATTCATGTTTCGGTCTTTGAGAGTCTGGTGATCTGGTAGATGCATCGCTCTGAGCATACCTGAACCTCTCTGATTGCTGGAATGGGATGGTGATCCACTGAATTTCTGCATAATAGAAATCACTAATGGAAATTCATGACCCTTGTAGAAGTACTTCAGAATGATTTATTATTTTAAAACCTTGTATTTACGTGGGATAATGGGTCAAAATATTTTGCATGAAATGTTTATTGTCTGCACTTCATTGTACTGGATGGTTAAAGTCTTGTTTTGCCCTACTGCAGCAGTGAAGTACAAACTCAGGATATTGCTGATAAGAAGTAGTCTGAGTTTACCAGAAGCCTCTTAAAATTACCTTTCTAATCAGCTAGACACGACACTGACTTAGTTTTCATATACAGATAAGCTGACTTGTTTTCGCCTATTTTAATGTGAAACTAAATGTCTTGTTTGGGCCAATAGTGAAGAGGAGAAGTCTTTGCTTCTTGCCCCGAGAAGAGTTTTCCACCCAGACTGCGCTATCCAAAGACCTTGATCCTTTGATTAATTCAGCAAGGCAAAGGAGAGAGGGGGTTTCTCTCCTAGCTGTATTCAAGAATGGTGGGAACCACTGGTAGGTACTGCAGAAGTACTGAGGTTCACAGCCTCCCTGACCCCTTTTTCCCAAATCACTGCTTTTAGGTCTATGCGGAAGGACTAGCATCAGCTAGCTTGATGCCTTTAGCCTTAGCATAAACAAGTTCAGGTCTTTGAAAATGTTTCTTTCAGCTCCCTTAAACAGTCAGGCATAAACGATTCAAGCTGCAGAGAGATAAAGTACAAAGCTTTCCCCAGTGAAGGACAGGGATTAAGAGAGTTTCTTGAGAAGTGCGGATTAGAGGAGAAAAATAATCACAATTTTCGTATTGTAGAGAAATAACATCTCTGACTGTACAAGCCAGTCACAAAAGGAACAACAAAAAGGGTTGTTTTGCTTGCTTTTTAGCTCCAGTGAATTTTTATTTGATTGGTAAGTGGGTGACTTTGGTACACTTTGTGGTGGGCTGGATGTGGCGGTCTGGTCAGGGACGGGATGGTACAACCACGCTGCCGAGAGTGTAGGATGACCCAGATTACACCGGTGTAGGGCTCGTGGCTTCCTATTTCCCCTCAAAAGCCCATCCCTGAGTTCACCCATCAAACTTCAGGTGAAATGTCTCACTTCTTTTGGCCTAACCTTTCCGAGCAAATTTTAAGGGTACTTCCTTAGGTTCCTTTAAATGCAGCAATAATTTGGAATGACATAATATGCGGGAGAGAGCCGTGATATATACGTAAGTGGTTCTTGCTGGCTTTTGCGTCTGGGGCTGCAAGGGAGAGGCTGGTCTTGGAGCTGGAGAGTCAAGATTTTAATTCCATTGCAAAAATGACTCATAGTATCAGTCATGCTGATAACACTGTGTCAAAGGCACTGGCCTTTTTCCGCTGCTGGAGGAAAGGTGTTTGGTATCCACAACAGAGAAATTCTGGAAGATCTCATGCTGTGAGTAAATCTGTGCATCCTGGATGTTTGTGTGCTTTCTGCCACAAGAGAAAGGTTTTGAAGAATCCACAAAGCCCTGTGGGAATTCACTAGAAATTAGGTCTTCCTCTGTAAGTGGAAGTGTAGCTGGAAGGAAGGATCTGAAGCCAGACCTCTTCATTTTGTATGTTTTTAATTAACTTTTTTTAACTGAGATTCGGAGAAGATTAGAAGAGATTTAGGCACATCCTTGCAAATGTTTGGCCTGAGACCTTTGTGTACAGTACATTGGTAGTGATAACGTCAGGAGAGTAACTGGAAAATCTCAATGTGAACTTAGGAACTCTTAGAAAATTTTTTCATAATCAGTTATCGTTTTCAAACTCTGAGATAAAAAGCGTGGGATAAAAAGCGAAAAATAATTTGTTCTTAGTTGTTTAAATTTAAGCTCTTAGTCAAAGTGTAAGCGTCAGTTCCAAATAATTCAGACTCTCTCTTACTACTAACAATGATGCAAGTACGTCATTTCAGGAAGGAAGGAAGGATGTGGAAGCTGTCACAGTTTTACTTCGGGAAAAGAAAACACACCTGC